GGGCATCGTTCCTCCATTCTCCTGGAATTATATGTCTATCATTATCCTCTTGATCGACATAAGCAGGGGGACAATATTGTTTAAATCCCTGTTGATGTTGCTCTCTTTTCATTATAAAATTGTGTAGGCACACTGTTGCATATACAATACTTTCGACTGAACCTGGGAGTAAGGCTAGTGTAGTCCGAAGGATACGCCACCTACAATGAAGAGACAAATATTAAGGCTGATTGACCTTTGGGATGAAATTGATGAAATATATTACATTTTTTCTACCATACCTTGTCGTTAAAATGCCAAAAGCATTTTCTATTACTAGCCGAGCTCGAGAATGTCTATAATTATAGATTCGTTGTGTCTCAGTCAGTCTATTTCGTTTGGAGTATGGGCGCATCAAATTGTGCTTTAAGGGAAAAATCTCATCTCCTACAAGAAAGTAAGGCATCATTATATCTGTGCCAGGCAAAGGAGATGGCGGAGGTGCATTTAAAGTATCATTTTCCACAGCTTGACCAAATTCTGTAGCACTGAACATACTGCTATCGGGAAGCGATCCTACAACACGGCAATGTATAAAGCATGTATACACATAACATAATATTAATATAATCTAGCTACGTATATTAACTCACCATAATCTCCAACATGGATAGATGTAAAGCAATAATTTGTATCGCATGTTGCCATTAGTACGATGCTGAAAAATTGTTTGTAGTTAAAATACTGGGATCCAGTATTTGATGGACATTGAATTCTTATATGCTTCCCATCAAGGGCTCCAATACAATTGGGCAAATTCCATCGCTGCCAAAATTTCTGAGCAATATTTTGGTATTTTTGCTGAGTTGGGGGCGAAAGGTAGGTTGCACCTAGGATATTTGCAATAGCATCACAAGTTTCCCGCACAATATTATAAGCAGTACTCTTCCCAATTTACCAGTAATTAGCTAACGATGGGATGCTGTTTCCTGAGGCCAGGCAGCTGAAATAGACGACTATTAGCAGGAAGTTTTTCCATAGCAGTACATCTCAATGACAATGATTGTTGTTGTTATCTAACTTACCAAATAGTGAACGCTAATCGAAATTCCGGGGATAAAAACTCTCTATAACTAGTTTTTTGTATATGTGGACCGATAATTTCCAGCAGTTCATCAAATAAATCGACTGTTAACCTTGTCAAGCTATAAAACATTTCATGGTCTGTGTGTTTGTATTTTAAAAATATTTTTTCAAAAGCACCCTCGATGTTGCGAAATCGATTGCATGGACGCACCCACCACCGACGGTATTTTCCTTTTCGTCTTCGTACTTCATATATTTGTAACAGATACATATTCCACGAACACAACACCGTTGTTAGCAGGAGAGCTTTACGCAAATCCATCTTGCTATGTAGAAACTAAAGGAACTGCATGTTAACAAATGTATCATCACTAACACGCAAGTCCGAATAACCTTTTCTCTTTAGCTGATATACGTCACATTTTACGCCTTAATGTTTTATATTGTGGATCACCGTCTTTAAGGTTTATTTAAGAGCTTAGAGCTTAGAACTTAGAGCTTACGGCTTAGAGATAAAATATTTTCTTAAAGCAAGGTTGTAGACCAGGACTAATGTTTTATATTGTGGATCACCGTCTTTAAGGTTTATTTAAGAGCTTAGAGCTTAGAACTTAGAGCTTACGGCTTAGAGATAAAATATTTTCTTAAAGCAAGGTTGTAGACCAGGACTTAATGTTTTATATTGTGGATCACCGTCTTTAAGGTTTATTTAAGAGCTTAGAGCTTAGAACTTAGAGCTTACGGCTTAGAGATAAAATATTTTCTTAAAGCAAGGTTGTAGACCAGGACTAATGCGCGGCCTATCGCACGTGTACTAATTATGGGGTCCTCCTCAACCATCTCTAAAATTGTATCTTCCTCTTCTATTTGTATCCGACGATTGCGACCAACATCAACGAGTTTTGGCATCAAACAATCACTGTTTCGGATTCTTTGGTCTAACCGTTCGAAAGTTTTTCGGTCGGGATGCATGCGATTCGGATAACGTTCTGCATACAGTCTTTCTGCACGCACACTGGAACAATTAGCTTGACCGAAAATTAAATACATATCGGCATATTCGTTATTGCTATACCGATACATTTTTCTTTCGCAAAAAATAATATTTGTGCAAAATGCTTAGATGACGCCGCAAAAGGAAATGCTATTAGGTTACATTCGATTTTCATTTCTTTTATCTTGTATTTTATCTCGTAAATTTGTCTTATCTCATGCTTTATCTCGTAAAAAAAGTTCATGGAATTATCTAAGCAATTCGCACAATAATTTTTTTACAAAACAAGATTGTATCGGTATTAATAATGACGAATATGCCGTTAATTTTTGGTGAAGTAAATTGTTCCAGTACGTGTGCGGAAAGACTATGCGAAACATTATTCACATCGCATCCCGATTGAAAAACTTTTTAATAGTTGGACCAGAGTATACGAAATAATGATTGTTTAATGCTGAAACTCATTGACGTTGGTGGCAATCGACGGATAAGAATGGTTGAAATGGACGAGACGGTTTTAGAGATCGCTGAGGAGGATCTCACAATTAGTACACGTGCGGTAGGCTGCACATTAAATGTCCGTCACGTAACACTTCACAAGCTATTGAAAAGTGAATTGTTATACCCGTTTCATTGTACAAAGGTACAGGAATTAAATGTCAGAGATCACCGTGCCAGAGAAAATTACTGTCGGTGGCTTCTTGATAATAATAAAGCTCTAAAAATTTTATGGCAAATATTGTGTGGACCTACGAATCTTTATTTATGGGCACATGTGTATTTAACTATCATAACAAATATTATTATGATGTTACTAACCCACGCGTGATCCGCATGCTTTCCACATAGGTGGAAGCTAAACTTCTAGGCAGACTTTTTAGACGGTAGAGCTATCGGTCTTACAGCATCGACCAGATGCACATGCCAGATATTTCGACGGTATAAATATTAAAAATCTCTCGATCAGTTTACAATACATATGTATCACTATGTACGAAAGATGTTTGCTTTACGGGAAGAAATTATGCGGATTTTTTAATACAATGTTTACCAGATTTTCTTCTGGAAGAAATTCCTGTCGCAAAGAACAGTTATATTTTTCCAACAAGACATGGTACTAACGCATGTATGTCGAGGCGTTAAAATTTGTTGATGGACCAATGCTTCGATGCGTGCGAGAAAATTTAATTCTGCGGAAACGTTGCATCGAAGCTAACGCGGCCTATTTAAAAACTTTAATTCAATAAGTTCTTCGCAGGACTAAAGAACAGTCCTTTTCAAGGCTAGTAGTTTACTGCAAAACAGTTCTTTTCAAGACTACTAATATTGTAAAACGTCAGGAAACTTCTCTCATTTGCAACAATAAATAAAGCGTTTCTCCCCTACACTATTAAATAATTGAAGAATATTATGTTATCTTTTATTATCAAGTATGTCGAATTTTTTAATTTTAACACAAATCATGTAGTTAAAAAGAACAACTGCACCTAACTCAACCCATACTCTTAACTACAATCATGTAGTTAAAAAGAACAACTGCACCTAACTCAACCCATACTCTGTAAGCGAATTGCTAATGTGATGGAGCAATTTGGTCAGCAGGATTACTTTTTTTTATTAAAAATCTATAAAAAACACCTAATCTGATTAGAGTTGCTTGATAAAATTCTTTTTGTCGGCTTCTAATATCAGAGAGAAAATTGTATTCAATATTATGAATAGAGAATAAATCTTTATTATAAAGAAAGACATTTTTCTCTATTTTTAATTTCCTCTATTTTTCTTTTAAGTATTTTCTTTTAAGTATGTGTTATTTAAATGTCTAATTGTTATAAGAGACTTCTCTTACAAAATTTATTACTTCTGAGCAACTGGATGAAATCACTCATAAAAAGATTCAATAAACGATTTGTCTTAACAATTAAGTGCGAACGCAAAGATTTATAAAAACATTGTTCGGAAAATAATTTTTGTAAAACACAGATTTTTTTTGTGTTTGTCAAATTCTTCATAGTAATGATTAAGTCTTGGTAAAAGCTCTATCCGTCGAAATTTTCTATAAAAGGAGGTACTTTTGATAGGAGGAATATAATTCTTGGCATAAGAAAAATTTATTTCTAATATTACGATGCGTAATATTACGCGATAGCGGCGCGAGCGCTCACGCACACTACCAGGCGCGCGGCTCACTGACGTGCCGCCCGGCTAAAGGCCGGTGCTCAGTGGATTGACTCATTCATTATTAAGCATGATAGAAAAAAATGGTTCAGGACTTTTCGACTCAGAATTTTATAAGGAATAACGCTATGTACTTGGTGGGCGGTCTTTAAGTAACACCCTGTATATGCCCGATGGCACTGCCGAAACCGTTGCTAGAGCATTTATTATTTTACTTGCCGGTGCGGATGTCCTAAAAATATACTGATCGATCAGGGAAGGTACTCAATCAACAGCTTCATAAAGAGCATCGTAAAAAGATTTTGCAGCTTTCCACTACGACATATCTCCTACAAATGAACGATTCCCCGGAACGGTCTCACATAGTACTTGTTGAATAACTGAAATGTTTATGAGCAGAGAAGATAGTTGGGATGATCTCCTTGAACGAGCAAGTTTTTCATACAATACAGCCGTCCATGAGAGAACAGGATATTCACCTCACAAATTAATTTTTGGATTTACCACACGCACTCCGTCTCAATTTAAAACTGACAACGAGCCCGAGACATATAACAACATCCTATCGAAATTATTCGAGCGGATATGAGTTAGAAATTTCCACGAGAACAAATCTGATAAAAGCTAAGGAATCGTCCAAACAGTATTACGATAAACGTATCCACCCAGTAACCTATAACACTGGATATTTTATCTATTTGCGATCGTGCGCCGAAACCTATAAGCTCGATCGCGAATACGTCGGACCGTACCGAATTATTCAAAAACTATCTTTTACTTTTCTTAAAATCAACGCTAAGAAAAACCACAAGACCAATAATCGAAATCAAACTCAAATAGAGGAAAGTTCTGTATTATGAGATAGCAGGTTTTCAACGTCCAACTCAATCACAATTTTTTTCACAACGATTACACGATCTAACAATCAATTTGTCATTAAACAGATATCACTCCAAGGGCAATAAATTCATGGTGGAATAAACAGATGATCCGTATTAATTTAGCAGAAACTCCGCTATCTCCTATTAAGATATCTAGCTGCACATAAGAGGGAACTTACATTTAAAAGTAAACTTCCAAATCTATAATCCTACGAAGAAAGAACGTTTAGATCGATTCTAAAGACTGCTAATCCAAAGAAAAAAAAAATTTCCCAGATCGATACCAAAAAATCGACAATCCAACGAAGACATTCTAAATCGACGCTAAAGATCGATAACCCAACGAAGAGAATAACGTCACAAATGATATCACATCGCCACAAGCGGCAGCTGTGGTTTTCCCGGTTCGCCTTATATGCCTCGGTAAACTAATCTTAAATACGAGTAAGCGTTGAGCGTGTTCGCCGCGTAGTGGTGGCGTACCGTACTAGCGCCGTACCAGCGCCGTACTAGCGTGCACGGGTCCACGTCGAGGGAATATTTTCTTCTAAACTGTGTTTACGTCTCAA